ATATATATATATAATATATTTAACACTTGGCCGAGCTTTCTAATATACTAAGAAACCGATCAACCTCGTATGACCAAAGACAATTTTGGCATATGGGAAAATTTTGATCCTTGTCTTCACCGTATCTATTCCAAATAGTATTCCTAACCAAAAAGGCTTTAGTGTGACCGTCGCACGTGCATATATCACGGTTATATGATCTTTGAATTTGCTTGATCAACGACTGATCGGTCCATCTACCTCGTATATGGTTTTCGATCCTCTCTCGACAGCCTTCGAGGTTTTCTATCGTCTTCGTCATCGAAGATTTCACGAGCGGAGATAGAATCTCGAGCCCCTTGTGCTTTGTTTCGCTTCCGGAGCAAACCAAGATCATACCGTGGATGTACATTGCTTCTCTGTGTTTTTTCGCCGCGGCTCTGACTAAGCATTCGAACCCCTCGCTCGTGCTGCGTCTCCAGCCGAAGTAGTTTACGATACCTCTGCGAAACAAGGCCTCGCGGTTTCCGTTGTTCCTACAATTCTGGAGAAAACTCGATATTCTTGGGTTTTGTTTCCACGAGTTCAACGGAATCTCGTCGATGGACACGTTCTGGAAAACGTGGGCGTCGTTAGAAAGGTTGTGCAGTGATTTCGAGACGAGTTTGAGGCTGCAGACGTCGGCGAGCGATGAAACAGCAACGCGGCTTATGACCTCCATGAGAACGAGATCGTCGGGAAGGTTATTAAACGGAATCGTCGTTCGTTTACTACTCTTGCGGATTTTTCTGGAAGAAGGAGACGAGGAAACCATGACCGTTGATGCGAAAGAACAAAAGAGAGCTTTGCGTGAGACAAATAGAATACGATGTCTCTGGTTGGTTATTTATAGAGGGATGTTTCCTTTTCATAAATGGAAGATGAAACATAAATTTAATACGTTAAAAAAAAGGAAATTTCAATAAGGTAATTTTAAAAAATAATTCACGAAAAAAACTTGGATAATTTAAATCTGATAAAAACACGGTATGAAATTATATCTTCTAAATTTCTATTAATAGGATTTGGAAATCTAAACGGAAAAGGAAAACTTAAAAATAAAAAAAAATAAGAAAACAGGCAACAGGTTCCTGCCATTAGTCAGACATCTAAACTCTAACAACCAACAGCAACTGGTGAGAGTGAGACCGAACTCCAGATTTTCTCAGACATAAATGAACACTGTTGACAATTAAAATAATCAAATCTAATTAAACCGAAATACCGAACAAAAACCCAAGGAACACCAAATAAAATAACATAAATCAAATTGGTACTATTATTCTTTCGAAATATACATAATTTTGTTATCTTATCCGAATTTAATTCGAATGTTTTTAGAGACGATTTAACCCTAGATACATGCCAATGGAATTAAATAATGTGTTCTAATCAAGAACCATATTTTATTTAAAATTAAAAAACTTCAAGGTGTAAAAGTATTGTTTTGACAAAAATACGCAATGTATCTTTCTTATCAAGAATTATACGTTTCTTCAGGCAAAACTAATAAACATGTTGGACGATGCTCTGTTCTGTTCTTTCGTACGGAGGAGGCAACAGACGTTGTACGTCGGCAAAAAGGTCTTCACGGCCAGATTGCTCTTTCACAACCGATGAATCGAGAACGAAGTCAGGTATTGTTGGCAGAGCTTCCTCCAAGAACGATTTCACCGTCTGGATCAGCAATTTCAATATTTTTTCAAGAATCACATTGATTTGAACCGAGCCCGTAGATTTTTCAGACGAGAAAATGAGGGAATGGTTTAGCGAATCAACGTACCGTGCAGTGCAGGAGAGCAGCATCAGCTGTACGCTTCCACAGGCTATTCCCGGGCTCCGAGTGGAAGAAGTTGAGTAATGGCTGATACATCGATCAAATCAAAGAAATCATCAGGTGACATATGTGAAGTCATTGTTCAAAACTATGACAAGAAACCTGAACTAAGTCTTTCTGGTTGTGGTTTGTCGCCGTGTAAGGTCGCTCGAGTGTTTGAGTTACAGATGCTTGAAAACGTCCTCTTACCTTCGCGATATCACGGAGACTTGGCCGACCTTTCCCATATTTTCCGAGAACAGAGTCTCCATAGACTTGATATTGCTCGATAACCTAAACAATATCAGAGAAAACGAAATGAATCCCATGAGACAGACGACGAGAGATTGTGTGGAAGATTCTATTCGAGAACCCTAATCTTCTTCAGAACCTGTCGCCGGGTAATTCCGCTGCTTGTAGATCCATAAATTGCAGTGTCAACATGTCCCAAGGTCTGCCATGGACTGTGAAGTAGACAAAATATATTTTATAAAAAACGTTAGTGAAAATATTTTCTCTGGATGTTTAACGGAAACAACAAATTTTTAAGATAACAAACTACTCATACTTGTTGTATGCAGCCCGGCCGACCATAACACCATGAGCTCCCGCCTTCAATGCAGCATTTGCCTGTAGTTTAAAAGCAAGATGTCATCATAATATCAGCTCTTATATGCGATTCCAATCCTCGGACAAGAGAAAAAATTGTTGTGGAATGTTCACCTCAACCACGGAGTTTATGCCTCCATTTATCGTGAACTTCAAATCTGGAAAATCACGCAAAAGTGCATAGAAGTACTCGTATCTGCACTACGGGACGGAACTAGTAAAGAGAATATGGAACCAAACTGATCCAGTAGCAGCATATTCTTTCATACAGAGATCATAAAAAGATTGAAAGCCATTATGCACATACTTTAAGGGAGGAACTCGCCGATTATCGGTCGGGCTAAGACCTCGCAGCAATGCCTTTCGTGAATGTATGATGAAATGCCTAGTTGGAGATAGTGAAGAAACTTTATAGATGAAATCACCTGAATATAATAAAGGAAAAATTGCTGGAGTCAGTAACGAAATCAATAAACATTGGCATTCTACTAATGTGAGAAACCTCGAGCATATTAAAACGAATGTCTTTTAACAGACACATGACTGTAAAGATGGAAGAACTTACAAAGCTCGTTATATGAATCGTGATTGTCAACACCAATCCGACATTTAACAGTGACGGATGCATTGGTATTGGCAGCGATGACAGACATAGCCTCTCCTACAAACTTTCCTTGCAACCAAACAACAAATTAAGAAGAGAGACTGAGTTTACCCAAAAAGAAATTGTTGTATTGGTCTAAACTAAAAACCTTCGGTTCTAGCATAAGACGAGCACCAAAGCAACCACGCCCAGCTACTCTTGGGCTCGGACATCCACAACTAGAAACAGAATCGGCATGTCATTCAACGAAATCATAAGTAAACATTAAATATAATTAAAGGCTGTAAGAACGAAAAAGGAAAGCATAAGGTAGAAAACAGATCCACAGACTTGAAATTAATCTCATCATAGCCATAAGGACTAGCAAGTTTGGTTGCTTTGGCCAGATTTTCCAAGTTGCTACCACCGATTTGAAGAACGATAGGATGCTGGTCCGGAGAGTATGCCAAGAATCTGTCCTGAGCAGCATAAGAAGAGTTACCATACGAGTGAGTTGCATATGCGACATTCAGAAAAACAACACACGACGAGTCAATATATTACAACACACAATGAGTCAGTACATTACCAGATTTCCTGCTTGGTAAACAATGGTTTCAGCAGCTAACATCTCTGTGTAAAGCCATGCGTGCTTTGTTATGAGACGTGCAAAAGTTCTGTAATGATTGTCGGTCCATTCCATCATTGGGGCTATACTGGTTATGATTCAACAAAAATAAGCTCAAGACTATTTCTCCACAAAAACAAACTGATTCGAAAAGAGGGAAAACAAGAAAATTCAGACACCAACCTGAACAGAGGAGGACGATAAATCCCGGAAACCGTCATGGCTACCTCTGCCACGTATCTTTCACATCCAGATAACGAATTACACAGTGTAACACAGAGTATCAGACACAGATTCTAAATTTGAAATTGCCCTCTTTATATCTAACACAATGCTGCTCCACAAATCTATACATGTCAAGTGTGAAACCCTTTTGTCGAATTCATGAAATCCAATGACCAAAGCAAATAATTCATCCTCAGAACAAAACCCAAATCAATAATACGTTTGTTTCTCCTTCGTTTCCACTGATATTCAACTTCCAATTGGGAAAAGTTCGCAGTTTCAACTCCTCGTCTCACTCAACTAATACGAAAGATGAATTAGCTGACGAAACTAAAACCTAGAAAACCTAAAGACGATAAAATAGGAACAATCATCCATCAGCTCCTGAACAATTTCAGAAACACGAGCAGCAAAGAAAAATACGACGAAGCCAAATTCGTGGAATAGAAACAAATTCATCTCTATTAATACAAGTCTTTATTAAAAAAAAAAACAAATTCGTGGAATAGATGCCGAAAACATGTGAAATCATATCCAAATTATGCTTATATACATATACAATCGCATACATACGTACAAGCATCTACCTTACAAGGAAGAGAAGCTCGTGTCTTGAGTTCAAGCTCCGCTGTAGAGGATAGAAGGAAGAAACAGGGAACGAGCGAAGGAGAGTAGTCGCAAAGCGGCTCAAATGAATAAGAAGAAAGAAAGGGTGAGATGAAATTTTGATAATTTTGGTTTTAACCCCTATACTTATAAAAATGTGTAACTACAGCCCAATATTTTGGGATCTTACACAATGACAAAAATCTTCTCTTTTTTATATATAAAAGTACCGTCTACCTTCTTAATACATTAATTGTAATCTACATACATTTATTTTCGCATTTGTTAATACAAGTTTTTTTAAAAAAATATATACTCCATCTATTCCAAAATATTTATAGTTTTTGATTATTTTCTATATTTTAAAATATTTGTTATTCTACATTTTCCACAGTTTCTAATTTTATTCCTATTAAATCCTAATAAATTATTAATGACAACTTTGTTTTTATCGGGATATATATGACTTTTTAAAAAAAAAATATAAAATAATCTAAACCAACAATTATTTTTTGAAACGGAGGGAGTATTAATTTCATGCAACATGATTAAGTTCATTTCAACTACCAAGAAGGATGCACCGTATGTGTGTGTAATACATTAATTAAAGTTTATTGATTTTTTTTTACATTTTGTATTACAGACTCGATTCTATCCACAAAGTCAATTCTCTCTATATATATATCTATCTCTTTTGATTTTCAGAAGCATTGGGAGTGGAAGACGATGATTAAGGAAACACATATATATCTTCAACCAATCGGGTCAAAAAGAGTCCGAGGAAAAAAAAAACAAGATCAAACAGTCTAAGAAAAAAAAAACAAAAAAATATACCAACAAACTCCCTCAACGAGATATAGCAAATATACTCTTAAAATGATATCTTTACTTCACACCCTATCCTCCAAAAAAATAAATCTAAAAAAAAAACTTAAATGAGTTAAAGACATACATAACCCTGAATTTTAAGGGAAATACGAAAAGGACCATGCTTTTTCAATTAAAAAAGGACTAAGTTTTTAAGAAATAGAAAAAAAAAAAAAAGAAACCACTCCCTCTCGATAAACTCTCACTCTTCCACTCTCTCTCTCTTGTATCATTTCGAAAATTCTCTCTCTCTTGCGCGATTTCAAAAACCGATATTTCTCTCTCGTGATTTTCCGAAACTGAGGTGATTTTCCTTACAATTTCGGTATCTCTCTTGCGATTTATATGAAAAATTAAACATCCATGGATCCAAGAACACATGTGCCTTCTGCTTCGTCTTCGTCTGCGTATCAGGCCGGTTCATCTTCGTCAGTCGGACAACGATCTCCCATTAGAAACGATAGGTTTTTCTGCATATTCTTCTCCATTTTTTTCTTCTGTGACCTGATCCTGGAATAAAATCATTAAACTTGTTGGATAGTTTGAGATTTTAAAATAGGAATTTAGGGTTTAGGGATTTTGAAATTGAAAATTAGAGTTTTGAGATTTCTAAATATAAAGTTAGGGTTTTTTGTTTTGAAATATATAATTTGGGTTTTAGGAATTCGAAATAGAAAGTTAGGGTGTGAACGTGAGATTTCGAAATAACTTGGCAAGTTTAATGATTTCCTAAGTCGCAAGGTCATGTGGGTCACAGGCAATTTCGGTATCTCTCTTGCGATTTATATGAAAAATTAAACATCCATGGATCCAAGAACACATGTGCCTTCTGCTTCGTCTTCGTCTGCGTATCAGGCCGGTTCATCTTCGTCAGTCGGACAACGATCTCCCATTAGAAACGATAGGTTTTTCTGCATATTCTTCTCCATTTTTTTCTTCTGTGACCTGATCCTGGAATAAAATCATTAAACTTGTTGGATAGTTTGAGATTTTAAAATAGGAATTTAGGGTTTAGGGATTTTGAAATTGAAAATTAGAGTTTTGAGATTTCTAAATATAAAGTTAGGGTTTTTTGTTTTGAAATATATAATTTGGGTTTTAGGAATTCGAAATAGAAAGTTAGGGTGTGAACGTGAGATTTCGAAATAACTTGGCAAGTTTAATGATTTCCTAAGTCGCAAGGTCATGTGGGTCACAGGTTACATGAGTCACAGGGATTTATATGGTAACAGGATAATATAACTCACAAGGAGCACACGGATCACACGGGTCACGGGTCACGGGTCACATGGGTTACATGGGTCACGGGTCACGGGTCACAGGTCCCAGGTCACAGGTCACAAAGATCATAATGACGAACAATTATTTTATTCTGCAGCTTCCATTTGTCTACAAATTCGAAGATATTCAGTTTTCTTCGAAGATCAATACGAAGTGTTATCCCTATAAGACGCTGAAAACGCTTAAAGAAGTATTAACACAGGATGAATGGATGTACTTTAAGAAAGAATAGAATCACAATTCCAACATCTATTCCACGCGCAATGAGAACCACAGTTAAAGATGGCGCTTGCGGGAGTCCTCATTAAGCGCTGATCCGTTATTGTGAACTCTTTCGTATTTTGTAAACTTATTATTTATTGTGAACTCATTCGTAGTTTGTAAACTCAGTTTTTGTAAACTTTTCGTATTTTGGATTTTACTTTTACTTGGAAATGAGAAAAAAAAAACATAGGTCCAATGGGTCACATGGGTCACACGGGTCACACGGGTCACGGATCACATGGGTCACTTGGGTCACATAGATCGAATTTATCGAATTAGTGACTTGGCATGGTTATACAGTGATTTGGCATGGTTTTACAGTGATTAATCATGGATTTTAACATCAATAACAACTTTAAAATCATATTCGTTTCAATTTTCATATTCAAGTCACTCATGCAAATGTACTCCATAAGTGATACTAGTGTTTCATGACAACTTTAGAACAAATTGTACTAATGTTCGTACAACTCCTACTTATGTTAACAAATTTAATTTGTAGATACCATATTGTCATTGTAAAACATCATATAAACCATTTTCATCCTTTAAAATTGAGATTTGACCGTGTTTTATAAGTGTCACTGAGTCACGGGTCACATGGATCACATGGGTCACACAGTGTAAAAATGTATTCGGGTCACATGGGTCACATGAGAGTCATATGAGTCACACAGTTCAAAACTTGTTTGCACGATTCTATTTGATTTTCCTCTCATTTCCACGAGATTTGAAGCAATTTCACAAATTATCGAAGAGAGAGCAAACAAATCGGATAAATGAAGCAAATATGAGGACATAGAGACCAAATCTGAAGAGAGAGCAAGCAAATCAGAAGAGATATAGAGCAAATCGATGGAGAGAGAGAGAGAGCAAATCGGCGGCGGCAGAGAAAGGGTGAAAACCAGAGGAGAGAGAGAGAGCAAGATACGAGAGAGCAAATGAAGGGAGAGAGCAAACGGAGGAGAGAGAAAGCGCAAATACTGGAGGAGAGAGAATCAGAAGAGATACAGAGCAAATCGATGGAGAGAGAGAGAGAGCAAATCGGCGGCGGTGGAGAGAGAGTGAAAATCGGAGGAGAGAGAGAGAGCAAGATACGAGAGAGAGAGAGAGCAAATGGAGAGAGAGAGCAAATAGAGGAGAGAGAATGAAAAATGTCGGAGGAGAGAGAAAAAAACTGATAACGAGGAGAGAGAAACCAATGCTGCTTTTTAGGAGGGAAATTATTATTTTTTATTTTAATTTTATTTGTTTTATAACATAAGGGTATAATGGATATTGTATATATAGGAAGAGTATATCTGAAAGACATATTTTTTTTTTTTCTGAGGGAAGGGTAGTCCATGAAGTACAAGTAGCATTTTAAGGTCATTTCTGATAAATCCCCGCCTCAACGAAGAGTTTTGGGTTGAGATAGAGGCAATTCCAATAAAGACACTGGAAGCCAAAAAGATTGCCGACAGGATGCTCCTACCCCACCATGCCTGAGGAGGAGTAGAAGACAATGCCAAACAAATCAAAGAAGACAACCTTATTCACAAAGATGAAGAGAAAACATATTGAAGAGTGCAGAGAATCGAACAAAGTCTGAGGAGATTACACACAAAGAAGATGTTGCCAAACAGATCAAAGAAGATACGCAAAGTTAGAGAGTAGAAGAAGATGAAGAAGAGAACCTGTCAAAGACGAATGGTACGCCAGAAACTGGTGGAGAGATAGAGAAGTTCGTCGGAAGACCAGAGAAATTGGAGGTTGACGATGATGACACACAGTAACGAAGGATTTAGGGCACGGACAGAGGGAGAAAAGTCGATGGGGTCATTCCGTAATGAACTTAGGCTTTGAATGGTAGGAGTTTTTGGAGTTTTTAGAATCTAAAAACAAAAAAAAAACAACATTCAAGTTTTTACAAAATTACTTTTCCTAAAAACTTGGAAAACCATTTTAGTGAAAAAATCAATGAAAAACCAAAAGCTACTTTTTTTGAGTTTTCAAATATTATAAAATCCAAAAGCCAAAAACCAAAATCCAAAAACTAAAGCCAAAAACCCAAAATAAAAGCCATCTCCATTCAAAGCCTTAGTGTTTTTAGAGTTTTTTCCTTCAATTCAATTAATTCTTTTTTTTTAATAATATCGGGCTGCCCATCGGGCTTAACCCAAAAAAGTCTAGAACCTGATTTGGTCCGATCCGAAAGCCCACAACTTTTTGAGCCTATAAAATTAAGCCTAAAGCCTATATTTTTTCGGATAAAGTTTCGGACTTCACATCCAAATTGACACACCTAACCTAATACAAATTAAAGATTTGATATAGATTCATTAACACTATGACTTAGCCTTATACGTATAAAAAGTCTTGTGGATTTTGCCAAGCCTTAATATGATTTAAGTCTGAACTTTTAATTGCATGGCTTAATATATACTTATATATTATGAAGTCAACTAATATTAAAACTCAATCATGTAAATCAATGAAAAAATGCGGCAGATTTGTGTGTACAACATCCATGATATATATATTTTTTTAATATTTTATGTTCATTTCTATCAACACTGAATCTAAAAGTTTAATAAAACTCATCAATTTCATTTTATGTGTAAAGTAATTTTCAGCGGTTACTGTGGTGAATCTCACAAAGATCAGATAAAATTATCGCGTTTCGAGTATCTACTT